TCGTTGATGAAACACCATGCGTGCTGAAATTATAAGAGCGTAATTAAGAAGCACCTAATTGTTAAGAAACTGTAAGTATATAGTACATATAAGTACTTATTCATAAGGGGCACTCAATTCGTTTTAATTTAATTTTAATTGCATTTACATTCATTTCTAAAGATACTGGACAGCGCCCCTATTCGGAAAAATCGTTAACAGACTTTTTAACAAATTCTAATAACATTAACGGAATTAATTCTTGTACGGATTATGAATAAATAACGTAGTCGTAAAAATCTAAATTAAATAGGGTGTGTGGAATTTCATGTTTGACATACTTTTTGTAAATAAAAATTAATAAATAATTAGCATTTTTCATTACAATTTCTCGCGAAATATGTAGCTAAAAACGGTGTTGAAATAAAATCAAATCCTTAAAGGTAATTACCTGAATAATTAAAGCTTTAATCTTACGACAAAGTAAGCATTTAACTTTTTAGTGCATTTACTTGGTCTAAGAAACTATTATTTATTTGCAAATGTTGCCCAAGAGCTACAACAATTTATCCAAAATGATTTCTTAAAATGGTATCATTACACGTTTTCTAATCTCATCTTAATTAATCACTATTAATTCAAATTACTCTAATCTTCTGTCACATTTACTCTTCTATTACATGTACACTGACGTCCTAAAATATTTATTTTTATTTTTTTGTCATTACGTGGTTACTGTTATTCCTTAAAAAAAAATAGAAATTCACTTTCCTTTTATAACATGCTTTTAATGGAGTCATTTACGTTATCTTTATTCTGGTACACGAAACAATAAAACAAAAATAAAATACTCCTTACGCTGTATCAGTTGAGTTGAGTGTTTTTTTAATTACGTCCTTGTGGTATCACGAATATACCTGTATGCTTATATTTTTAATTGACAAACGTCAACATCGACTTATTTTGATTCAGTGCCTTCCTACGGTATTATCAGTGGTGAAAACACCATGTACCTAAAATAAATAGTACTAGATACGCCTGAATTTTTAATGGAAAGGAATTTAATAAGGTTTTTTTTAAAAACTATTGACTGTTGCTTAAGACAATTGCCATTTTTCATTGTTCATTTGCCTTTGCACAAGCTTTTTGCTGTAAAATCAAATTTTGCAAAAAGTTATGCATGAATGAAGTAGCTTTTCGAATATTTTAGAAACGGTTCGAAATTCATTGGTGGGTTGCATAGATAAAATTGGGCAACCAGTTCATTTTTGACGTTCTTTTCCACATTGAACAATCGGAAGTACTCATAAGCTAAAATAACCTTACAGACTTTTTACGATTTGATCGTGAAGAATCAATTAATGTAGTAGCTGAATAAGGGGCAAATCAACAAATGACACTAAATTTAATATATAGAATTTTCTTGACTAAATTTGATCTAAATCTTCATTTCTTATTCTTCTATTTGTTATTCTTATAATTTTTTCGATACAGCTGCGCCTTTTCTAGACTGTCCAGTTTCTGAGGCCAACCTTAATATCATTTCTTAATTTACCTCTTAATATGTTTTCATTCACGATAACCAAATCAATTAAGTAGTGGTTGCCTAATTTTGGACTAACTATAACAGAAGAGCATTTTTTTAATTTTTTTTGTTCCTAAGATATGCTATCACCTTAATGAAGACGCTAAACTTACAGAAATATGTTTATCTTTACTTTGGAAGACATAAAAACTAGGAAGGAGTTTTCTATTTTCTTATTTTTCAAAGCAAAAATGACTTAGGTAAAGCTTCTTTTTGTTTTAGGTATTTTATATTAATGGGAAAATTCATTTTCGAATTTTTATCAAACAAACTTCCTCAAGTTAATGAAGGGAAATTTTTGTGTTGCTGTTGTCACACCCGGGTTTGATTCCCTGCGAGGATGAATTTTCTCATTAGTATTTCATATTAACCACTATTAAAAATTAAAAATGTGTTAGGTGTTTTACTAGAAAAAGTCAACCTTATATTGAAAAATAAGTTTTAAAACTGCACCTAAATTTAACTGGGGATCTAATATTGGATATGAAATTTTAGGATACCTTTCTTAGGTAGTTTCTACTCCTACCTCTAGTCTTCTTAATGTACATATGTTCGATTCGTTGAAAATACGATCATGGATATTCTGGGAAGACTCCCGGACAGGTCGTTTCTCATTTTTAATTGCACATAATTAAGCTAACATTGTAGCATTAATAACACTGTCAGACACTACATGTTTTTTATAAGGTTTAGTTGATTTAGCAAATATATAAGAATAAAGTGATATAACAGATGCAATATATTCATTCGGTTCTCTCCTTTTGGAAAATCCTAGCATAAGGATTAATTATTACTCAAAAGGCACTAAAAACCCAATCTTTTTCTCATTAAAAATTGTTTGTATTTAAACTTTGAAATTATTTTTTATTGGTTGTCATAAACAGCATTGAAATTAGGTGTATGACTAATTCAATTTTAATTATTAGAAATTTCGGGGCATTTATACCATCAATATTTTGCCTTTGAGAATACCTTGACTGTTTTCGGTTTTGGTTCTACCTGTCGCACGTAACTTCAGTTCTTCAACAGTCTTTCACTGTCAGTCAGTCAGTTCTCAGTTGTTTTACGTTGTCCACAGCAGTTAACAGCAACAAGCGTAGGAGATATCTATCGAAGAGCGCCTAGGTTTGAAAGTATTAATTAACAGTTGTGAAAATATTGTGAAAGATTAATATTTATCACAGTGCTGAAACGGAAAGGCTTAACGGATTTCAATTGTTATCATATAAATACACACGTGAATACGTAAGTTATTGGTGAATGATTAAAAATCGTGACTTTTGTTGAAGGATTAATTCAATTTTTATTAATTTAATAAATTCTACTTTCATTGTTGGCTGAAATTAAAATTTGTTTGTAATAGTAGAGTGCTGAATGCTAATTGGACGTGAACGGGGCGGCTTGTGACAAAAATTAAGCGCTATTAACAATAATGTTCGTTTCTAGCGCGTATACGAATTACATAATAATAAATTTACATTCGAACTGGAAAATAATTAAAACTCAGAGTGAATGCTAGGAAAATTGGTACACCTTTGCCACAACTACTTACTCTACACACATATGTATATTAATAGACAAAATTTGATAAAAAAATAAGTGTTCTATAATAAACTTTTTCAAAAGTTTGTTGTTAAACCGACCGACAATTATTTGTAATTTGTCACCGTTGCAACCACGAGTAATTTTTCTAGGTATCAGTTGATGTCAATTGGATACCTGTACATTTTGTTAAATAATTCTAGTTTATTACAATATTTTCATAAGAAAGCTTTCGCGATCGTTACTTTTATTAAAATAAAATGAAAGCGATCGCTAACAATATGGACCACGAACTTTTAAATTGATGTGTAACTAACAATTTTGATACGTTTTACAACAAATAGAAGAACTGACCATTGAACCATATGCTTACAGACAGTGTTACAGAGTCATGAAGAATCTGCTGTTACCTATTTATGTAACCGAAATTGAAAATTTTACAATTTACTGAAATAACGTAACAGCTTAAAAACGAAATTAAATCATAACTAGTCTACTGCACATTGACTCAGTATCGCTGCATTATATTCTATATAAAAAAGTGTTGCTATTAATAAACAAGATATGAACCGAATAAGAGTTTTTTATCTTGTTCAAAATTATGAAAAATATACGATCCATGTTAGGATTTAATATTCCTCTCTTAAATGTTAATAATTTCAACTTCTTTATTTTAATTTGTGATACCAATGGTGGAATAAGCGACCAACTTACTTTTTATTAAATACTTAGTATTAATAGGTGACCTTAGGACACGGATTTGTCACAAATTAAACTTTCCACTAAATTAAGTTAATATCAAAATATTTTGTGGGACGAGTAATGATGTGAATTACAAGGAGTTAGATACATATTATCTAAGAACGTTAAAAATGCCGAATTACTTTTTAATTCAGAATTTATAATGGCTTTGCTTATTCAGCATCAGAAGATGGCGTTTCCCTGGCAATTTCAAAGAAGTATTTTGTTATCGAATTCCGTTTAGTGTAATCTAACATGAATATTTTTGTTACTTAAAGTAATACAGTTGCATCAAAGAATTTATGTTTTTTATTATCTTTCTATGCTGATTTAATTGCTAATATAAGGGATTGATTTGGATTAAGTATTGCTTTATTTGCGTGCACTTAAGTTTAAACAATATACTATGGCATCTGTTGGAAGATTGCTAGTGGACTAATTTTTATAGTATTTACACGGAGAGAAAAATTTTAGAAAAATTACCATGCTAGTCGCTATATAGTAAGTGCAAAGAATATGTATTGACTAAATTCAGTAATTTTTTTAAGAGAACCTTATAAATTTTACTAGAAAGCACAGGAAGTTTTACTATGCATGGTTATTTTTCTATTGTGAGTTAGAAGCATCCAGATTATGGAAACTTTTCTCTTCGTGATAGTAACTGCGGGATTATTATTTCATTAACTAAAATGTTAATATTGTGAATTTGTATTCATTATCATTATAAGGTCGTCAGTTCTAAGACTGGTTGGACACGTACCTCCACTCTTTCCTGTCCTGAGCTAAACTTATTCCTTCTAATACCTCTTAATTTCTAACCTTTTCTACCCACGTTATCCTCATCATTCGCCTGTAACACCCCATTTCGAAGGCTTCTAACCTTTTCTTTTCCACCGCGCCCACTGTCCATGTTTCGCACCCGTACAACGCCGCGCTCCTTACATACACCTTTAACAACCTTTTTCGAATTCCTAAATTAATCGTTCGCGAGCATAAAAGTGACTTCTTTTCTTTAAAGGCGACACGACCCTGCGCTAGTCTCTGCTTTATATCCCTGCTACTCCTTCCGTCCTGACTTATCTGACTTCCTAGACAGAATTTGTATTGTAATCAATTGTATTATTAAATATTTAATGTTTTTTGTTTGTTTCAGGTGTGGTAACCCAATCTAGTCAAAATGAGGTCCTTTTTCAGTATCGCGTGTGTTCTGTGTGTGTCGGTGGCAGTTAGTTGGGCAGCTCCTGCTACACTTCTGGAAGCGGAAAACAGTTTTATTTCGCCCATAAACGATCAGGTTCGTTACGAACATATCTATCTTTCTAATGCACACACTCACATGCCTCTCTTGTCCGCTTTACGCTCTTTTCATTTTGATTCTTGGCTTGTTTGCCCACTTTTACTTTTCTATTACTACACATAACTATTCAGAACGCTAGAATTCCACACATGGTCAACGACAAACGCGTTTACTAGCTAAATTTCTTTCTGAGGTACCCAGTTACAATTATTACTATTATTATTATTATCATCATATGACAGCTTGCGCTTTACTCGTATACGTACTACAGTAATTAATTTATTAATTGTAATGGGTATGAGACAAATATATCTTTTAATTTATTTATAAAATCAGTTTAAACATTTCTTTTACTTCAATTTTTTGCTTACTTTGACTTTGTTGTGGATTTTGGCACATTTCTAGCACAAATAACTGCACGTTTTAATATAGAAACTTCTCAGTATTTTTGAATGGATAATCTCATAAAACCTATTATATATACGTAATTACCTTAATGCCAAGTAGATTGAAATTGCCTGTTATCAATGATAAAAACAACCTCTAAAACAAGTGACCGTTCAAGTTCTTAATTATTTAGACATTAGTGAAGATAATTATTCCAAAACTGTTCGCCTAATCTTCATCTTTTCTAAGACATAAAAAAACAGAAATTAATGAACTTCTTCAGTTCTGCACCGGAATATTTGAAACTTTTTTATAGACTCAATTTGTATTTGCAAGTTGATTTCATTTAGAACTTTTTATTATTCGAAGAGGAATCCTGTGCGTGGTTGTCATTGAATTTGTTATCGGTTGTTAATGTTAAACAAATTGTGACTTACGTTTGGTCTTGTAATTGTTAAATCGCACAATATTCCATCAGTCAAGTGTTGGCAATCATGGTCAATAATGTACGACAAATCTTCTAGCAAGGTAGCATTTAAACATTAAGAATGTAAATACACAAAGGTGTATTGTAAATTATTTATTTAATGCAAATATACGCATAAACGAATTAGTTGTAGAATTATAAAAAGGAATACTTCAAAATGATTTAAATATGTCACAATAATAGTGATTTTAGCATATACCCCGTTCTTAAAATGAATTTTTGTTTAAAGATAGCAAAGAAAATCCTTAACTGCTAATAGGTACTGATTAATTAATTAAATAATCTTGAATGTTTTGTTAACCAGACCTAAATGTTAGATAAGTTGGCCAAACTTTTTGGTGTATATAATACATAATTTAATTATATAATTATTTAAATCGAAGTTCAGAGTTCCCTCTGGAAGGTCATTTTGGGTTGACCTTGTTTGGTTAATTTGAGAAAAAAATTATTGTCAATCACAGTAGGCCAAAAAAAAGTAATAAACTAATAATGTTAAGGTTACAATTAAAGTGATTATCCTGTCAATACACTACACTACAGTAAAAAATCTGACCAAAAAATAAATTATTGTTTTTTTTTGTACACTGTAAGTGTGTGTTGAAATTGAAAGAAAGGCTCCAGATTTGTTTCACAACTTTCGAATGTTTAAAGAAACAATACACTAATATATATGGAGCTACGCATACGATTATGTTTCTTTTTGAAATTGACCTTCGTTCTTCGTAACCTTTAAGAGAACAATTTTCTCCATAACAGAAAGAGGTAACCTCAGGAGAGACAAAACGTCATTCATAGAGGTCAAACGATCACGTTTCCAATCGTTGATGAGCGTAAAAGCATTGTCGGCATATTCAACTTCGACTATTAAATTACTTAACCAATACATGCAGCGTGTCCCATCATTACATATGTACCCTTGATAAAATCTCTCAAATGCTCTACAGACAATTACTTTCAAATCATCCATAAAATCTACCTACTGAAAATTGACTTTGATTAATATTTGAAAGAACTTTTAGTGCTGTAATGTATAATAATAGTAAAAAGAAGTAAAGTTTGTTAATAAGTGTTCTAAGCTTCGTATCATCACGTTGCAGCACTTAGAAGCAAATCAATGAAATAAAACTCAACCAATAATTTATTTTTTTATATATTCAATCATTATCATAAATAAAATCAGATAATTATGTCTGAAGTCAATCGGAGTATTAGTTGAATGAACATTTTCCCTATAGGAGCCTTCTTTATTCAAGTAACGTTACTAGTACTAGTTTTTGCTTTCCTGTTATTTGTATTTGCATTAATAAAGTGTCAATAGCAATACATACTGTATATTTAAATTAGATCCTATTGAATTTTTAATGTGGAAATAATAGCTGATAATACACAGGCGGAGCATTAAGTTTTGTGGTGTACAAAGAGCTCAAGTGAAGAAAGTGAGTGAAAGTAACCCGTCGAATTGTAAAAGTATTTCCCCCGTTCGTCATTGGTAGGCACGTACACATTATGTCATGCATAAGTTGTTTGAATATCACGGATGCGATTTAGACGTAAAGATTGCTGAAGATGATAGCATCCGGTGTATATTATTGCAGCAACAAAATTATCTTCAAATAGCCAATGATTACACTACGTATCCTTTTGTTCTTTTATGACAAAACAATCACAAACTTTAAACGTCACTTGTCAAGTAACAAACAACATTGCATAACAATTTCGTTTTAAACTAAAATATGTAAAATAATGTCCGGTTTAGATAAATCCAATACTTATTCATTTATTTATTTAACAACTGAACTGAAGGTTAGCCCAAAATAGTAACTATAAGTAATAGATTTGCTTACAATTGCAATTGTAATTGTAATGTGGTAATAAATTCAGTTTAGCATTTTTTTTCAAAAAAGTGCCTATATTTCTTGTAATATTATTCACAATTCTGTGTAAATAATCTAATTGAAAGAAACCATAATGGTAGTGATTTTATTTTTCAATTTCTTCCTTTGTAACGCCGTTTCTCGATCGTTCTCAAAATCGCAAATTTCGTCAGAACTATTGTACTTAATCAATTGTGAAAATGTAAGTATTTCTTAATTCAACTGTGCAATTATTGTGCTATTAAATATTAACTAATACACAGGGGAATAAACGAAAAGTACGCAAACGTCAATGTAACCAGTCAAATCTGTTAATAATGTGATCATTACCAGTTCAAACACAACTAATTCCTAAATGCTACCTTGTGAGCAATTTTGTTTTCACTTAGTTGAAAGTTATGAATATGCGGTTCGAAAGTAAAACCGAGAAGAAACTCCGTTTACAAAGCGAAGGCAGTTTTGTAATTTTACATGTTAATAAAGTGACACCAAATTTATACACAGTGCGACACAAAATGTTCGCATTATTTAACAATTAAACTCATATCTAATGTCCTATTATTTTTTCGCATTGTTCCAAATGATATATAAATATTTACTTGTAAAGAAAACAGATAATTCTGTTTTTATTTTAGTTTCAAAATTTCTAAAAACATTTTTTACTTATTTATACAACCATTAAAAATCTGTCATTTTATACCTTATTCACACGCCAAATGGGGTAATTAATACTGCTAAATTTTCCCATAGTATGAAAACATATTATACGGGTTCGTCGCTTGACTCACTGTTGATATCTCCGTTTAAAACTGCACAAAAACAGGCAAAATTAAAAAACTAACTTCATAATATAAAATTTTATTCCAATCTAAGTATTCAAATACTGTGTTTTATGCTTTTTATCAAATACACAGAAGTTCAAACAATTTTAACCAGAGTAATCTATATTTTTATTACCATTTAACACTCAAGGTGGTAAACTGAAGCAGTTTGGCATTTTGTAGTTCCAACAGAATGTTTATTTTATTTTAACATTCCATTTACCTTATTGCTAATGCTATATAAAAAATATTTAAAGGTACAATATTGACTTTTTGTAAATACACAAAGATTTCTGTAGAAAGGTGACATAGTACGCTGTAATGTCTCACCGAACATACTAAACATATTTACATCAGGTAAATTGTTTGTATAAATTTGTTTTTTACAATAAATTCGACTTCTGTTCAATATAATTGATTGATTGAAAAGTAAAAACATTAATATGAATTTCAATGATACAAATGAATTTAACAACAATAACTTGTAACAAAAGTGAAGCATTTCTTCTTAAAACAAATGTTATAGTGTTATTTATTTAAAGTAAGAAAAGACTTAGAGAAAGTTGTAGGTACTTTCAGTGAGTAGATTTTTATATTAATCACAAATTTTGTCAGAAAACGCCAAATTAATTAATAAAAATATCTAAAATTAACGGACCGCTAGAAAAGTCATAAATTCAAAGTTAATTTTCTCGTTAACCATTAAACTAATTTTTATAATCCTTTTTTAAAATGTAGTAGTCTTTCATAAAGACGGTTTACCGCAAATTACTTCTGAAATTATGATTTTAGTCATATACACAGTGTTCGAATCATGATGGTCTTTTACCTAAAATTTTCAATATTTGCTCAATCATTTAAGTTCATAAAAAGATCGTAAAAATCAGTTCAGTGGTTCGCAAGAAATTTAACTCTAAATTTCTAATGAAGCTTCAATCTTGACGAGTACTGTAAATACTATTAAAATAAAATAGGTTTATGAGATATCCATGCTTATAGTAAAATAACTAATGGGTAATTTATCTTATGCATGACCCATAATATTTTTTATATGCCCAATTAGTTCTGTAGCAACTAAAACGTTTTTCTACACGTAAAACTCTTGCAAGTATAACAAACTTTCTTCTCTTTATTATAAATTTTTTTACAGGATACTTTTACATACATACATACATATATGTTAATCACATCATTGTAATGCCGCATTATTTCTTATTATTTATCCATAACAATGTAGCGTCATCTTTACATACATTAAGGTTTCGTATTTGTTGTCGACTCTTCAAGGGTTTGTTGTGTCTATTATTTCTTCATTATCGTGGGTATATTAGATGTTCATCTAGACAGAAACATCTCAACGTCATGTACGAATAAAGATCAACAAGACGATCTTATTGCCCATCTTCCTTCTCATTCTTTTGGGTCTTCTTCATTGTTATTTTGTTTACTTTGTTGTTAATTCAAATCAAATGAATAGGCTCTGATATCAAAGCGCATGAGTGATTTAGTACCACGTGATAATCACTTGAGAAACCGGCGATCTATCGAAATGCTGAGGAGATTATGTCCCGAACTGTTCCAGGTAAGAACACGTTTGTTTTGATCATCAATTGTTGCAAAATCAGCACCATAGAGGAGTTACATTTCTATTGTTAACAATTTAAGTTTGATGTCTGTATGTAATAAACCATTTGGGTTATTTAACAATAACAACAAAATACCATTCGTGTAACATATCGAATTGAATAAGCCTGAAGTCATTTGCATACTTAAAGTGAAATCAGTACAATTAAATAGTAATAACAGTATAATACTACGTAAATATTAATATAAAGGAAATCTCACTTTGTACAATAGCATACTGGATATTCGCTTCTTAGTATCAATGCTTCTAGTGACTTTTTAAGCAACTTTTTAAAAACAATTTCTTACGTAATTCCTTCATATATTTAGGTCATCATGTCTTACATCCAACAGAAATTCGGCAATTTTTCAAAAACTATAAGATAAAATGGATTATTGCTAGACCTTTTTCTGTAAAATTTAATTGTAATTTCAATAGTTTCGGTAATAGAAAAGAAAACAAGACGTATTAAGTCTTTTAAAATTATATACCCGGCCGATAAGTCCAAACAACATTGTTAGAGTTTTTTCTAAAATGTGGTTGTAAAAAACAAACTCATACCCAAACGTTTATTTTTCACAACATTCATTATTGCTAAATTGTGGTAAATGATACACGGGTATATTAGTCAAATTATTTTTGCAAATGTATTGTAAGTCAATATTATGAACTTTCTATTTTATACTATTTCACTTAAGGTCATTACTCTGTTCAAATATACCCTACATGGCTGGTTTGGACATAAATAGGCAAGCAATTATCACTGAAAATAAACACCACTTACTAACTGTAATGTTTGCAAAAGTAAACGCTGACTTCATACGAGAAACTTTGCCTGTAAATTATTAACTTATCATTTTTTACTGCTTTAGTGGACTATAAGATAGGCATGCAGATAATTTAATCAAAGTGTTCGATTCTTTGAGAAAATAGACTACTGTTATTTTTTAATATTTTCATAAAACTAGAACCACATAACTGAAAGAATTTTTGTTTTACAAATAGGCTAATAAATTATGAATGTAATTGATAAAGTCAAAACATTTTTCTTGGTTTACCTTTTAATTTATGGATATGAATACATATTTTATTCTATTAGAAAAACACGTTATTTCTAGATACTCCTTATTTGGTAGAAACATTTATAATATTGTACCTAAATATACTTCTAGATGAGAATTATCAAAAATCCACCGTTAAAGTTTGAATGAATTTTCTGTTTTTCGTGGAATGAATTTAAGAAAAAGCGCTTGTTAGAATTAATTGTCATTCTCCCCCTGATATATAGATGCTAAAAAGTAGTAGATAATTCTGAACTAATTCAGTCAAAAGTTTAATTTTAATAGTAATTCACCATATTTGTTTGATATTTAAAATACAAATGTATTGAATTTATTCGGATAAATTCGGGTTAATGTTGTAAACCGGAAACGGCATGTTAATCTTGAATGGCTTCTTCTTATTCACCACTAGTTGTAATCAATTTTGGTAATAGGATTTTGCAAGGAAAAACGATATTGCATGCTAAAAAAATAAATAATTATAACAAGTGTAGAAGCCAGTCAGCCAACCACAAGGTTGTATATATAAACGGAAAGTCCTCAAGTATTTTCAGCCGCAAATAAGCCCCAGGTTTCACCATGGATAAGGTCCACAGACGCATATTACGAAAAATTCTTAACTTGTGGGACAAGCCTCATCTATTCGTGAAATGTTGGATTTAAACAAATTTTTAATTGTCTGCTGCAATAACCGACTAAAATTAACTGTAATCATCAAATTAAGTCGTAAAAGTAAAGCGACCCTGATCTAAAATCCAAAATCGTATAAAATTTTATTTTCTAAATTCCTAAAATTATAAAAATAGTATTACATTTAACAATTAAAAAGAAATGTACGATTAGTGATTTATGATGAAAAGGAATAACGAACGGCTAACTTAAGCATCTACTTTGGTCATAATCTGATAATAGATATTCATCAGTATCATATTGTAGTAGTTTTGCATTTACTATTTTAAATGAAGAATCTTAAATATTTTACATATTTTTTTTAATTAAATCATAATAAATCCTTTTCACTCTGTGTAAATGTAAATAAATAAGTTTTTTTTTTATTCAATTGTCCTTGTGGACGTAATCTAGAAATTGCCAGTATTGCCAATAGAAACTAAGGTAGGGTCTGTAAATCCTTCAATAATTGGACAGGATATTTGCTACATTAATTAAATTTTCTTTTTAATTGCTCGACAGTCTCATAATATTTTAAAATTTTCTGTACGTCATTGAGAAATTTATCTGCGTCTCCAAAAATAATTTCGTTATAAATCTTGCTGACAGTGGTCCAATAAGTTTTACATATTATACTCTTAATTTAGAGGTATTTGCCACCTGTCAACATTCACTAGTTATGAAATTGTTTCAGTCTAAATTATTTATTAAGAGACGTAAAAGACTCCTTAACTTACGCAAGATTATTACATTAAAAATCAACATAATCGCCGACGGGCGATTTAATATAGGGAGATACGTAACTATAGTAAATGTTAATTACTGAATTATTAAAGCAATCCTGATTTTCATCCTATACAAAATTTCGTACTTCACAACTAAGTTCCTAAGGCTGTTAAGCATTTACAATGTTTCTTCTGTAGTAGAGTCTAGACGGTACCAGCAATTTCCATTGTATAATGATTGCCTAAATAGTGTACAAATATTTTCTCAACGAATTAATTAACTTGCATCATATTCTAACGTTATTTATTTACTAGCCATTAATGTTAATGTTTCATGTGACCTTTTTGCCTATACGTTTTTGTAACATTTTGTCACCACTGTAATGGGCTTGATTTCAAAAATTAACAGATCATTGGCAGTTTTATTGAATATTCAAACGCAAAGGATATGTGAAAATTTGTGCTAAATGCCAACAAAGTAAAAGAATCTTCGTATCTTCTACAGCCTTCAACTGTTTTGCCATCAATATGTAAAGTATGTAGTACCTTTCGGATGATATAAGTATTACTCTCCTCTACAGGTTGTTTCTGAAATAAGTAGTAAGCTTTGAAGGATGCAAAGTAGATGTAATAGGGAATCGCATGGTGAGTAAAGTAACGTGGTTAAAGGACAAAAATAAACATAAGAAAATCAGACGAAGTTATACTCCGAAGCCAGCTCTGAGCGTGAACTGCTACACTACTGCACATAATAATCTGTAAACGCCCATTGCGATAACAATTAAATAAATAACTGCTTTGTTCATCGCTGATAGTATGCAGTACTATTTACCTCGACATGGTATTAAGAACACAAAATGCAAAAAAAATACTCTTATAACACATATACCCGTTTATGGAATGCAGCGTTGCAGTGTCGTATCTCCCTGCGTGATCCTACCAGGGCCGGACTGACCCTTCACTGTACTAAAAAACAATGAACTTTAGAACCACTAAATATATATTTCATTTTCTTGTTTTATAGTGTTCTATCGCCTCCTACAAATCTGCTACTTATTTCAGAAACACTCTATTTTTAATAAATACTGAAAAACATTTCCCAATTTCATTGTATCATACAGAAATGCAAGTATATACATTGATGTATCTTATGCACGTCATCTTTTATTTACTTTATTACAAACATGGCAATTTCCTAAAATAGTATTTTTTTGAAGGACAAAGGCTGAAAACGTTTCTTCTTTCTTATGTACTTATTTTAATTTTTACAGGCCAATTTATTGTGTAGGTATGTTTGTTGTGAGAAAACAAATTTTAATTGAAAGAGTGCTTTCTGGTATTCTCACTTTACACGCCAAATTAATTGCGAGCAAACTATTTTATGTAAATGATAACGATTGTTGTTTTATATATTTAATAGTCAACACTTAACTTAACTTAGAATTAAATAAACTAAATGAATAAAATTAAGTGTAAAAGTATAACAGTAGGCTCTATGATTGAATATGAATTGATTGTTGCTTGTTGATACTGTTTCGATACTGATTTGATACTGAGTCGATACTGATTTGATACTGATTTGATACTGACTTGATACTGTCTTGATACTCTTTTGATACTGATGAAAATGTGTATTACTAATTACATAAATAGCTTCGCCAGTGGGCGTTAACAATAACATTGAGGGTGCAAGGCGACCCTGTCAGTCAGGTCAATACCCCATTTCAGGTACAGACAAAATAAGTGAATTTAAATTTGGAAATTACAGTAATATAGCGAACGTGACTTTACAAAGGAAGAAATGTTACAATAAGATAGTAGAATACATTATAAATTTTATGGTTCCAAAATACTGAGATTACTGTTTGCATTTGATAAATAATATATACCTGAAA